ACACACATGTACACACTTATACGCATCCTCACACTCTCATGCACACACATGTACACACTTATACGCATCCTCACACTCTCATGCACACACATGTACACACTTATACGCATCCTCACACTCTCATGCACACACATGTACACACTTATACACATCCTCACACTCTCATGCACACACATATACAATCCCTCACTGACCCATAAAATCAAACATAGACGATGGTGAAATGTGTCCAAACCAGCAGCATGTGAATATCCTCTACTTTGTAATTTGTGTGCGTCTGTGTGTGTGTGCAAGTATGACTCACCCCAGGAGGGAGTCGTCTCCAAGCACCAAGGCACCGTCCACCAGGCACTGGGCCAACGTGGTCAGCGGCAGCTTTTTCTAGCCAGAAGAAAGCATTTAGCATTTAGCACTTAGCATTTAGCACTTAGCATTTAGCACTTAGCATTTAGCACTTAGCATTTAGCATTTAGCACTTAGCATTTAGCAGAGAACGCCTAGCACGATGTAACAGCTGCACTTCTCCTGAGTAATTAGCGAGCCAGCTAGCATTCACAGTGCTGCCACTGCCTAAAGATACTGATGCATAACGTCGTCTAGTTGTTCTGTGCAGTGCACAGTACAGTTTATACACATAGCAGGTTGTACCATGTTACTATTTGAGTAACTGTGACCCTGTCATGCACGGCATTTGGTGGTGTTTATATAGGATTGTTTATATATATAGCTCACTTAAACACTGATTAAAAGTGTTGTTATAGGGGCGATACGTACCGAGGGCGACCTGACCGACCTCTTGTCCACGTCAGGCCCCTGTTGGCCCTGCAGGCAGGCGCTCAGCTTCTTGTGGGTGCTGTGGGAAACCTGCTTCACCAGTTCCAACCTCTTCTCCACCTGGAATAGGGGGGGGGGGCGCATGCCACACTGAGCATGCTCAGAGCCGGCATTCTGATTGGTCTGTGCTTTGGGCTTCTCAGAGAGTCCAAACTCCCGCACACACCTATCCATTATTCATGACTGCTTACCCAGGACCAGCCCATAGTGAGCACAGACCCTCTGCAGCCCCCATATACACTTACTAAGAATCCTTACTTAATGAACACACACTTACATACAGGTCAACCACTCAGACTGCCCATCCCACCCAAAACCACACATGAGGATGGTGCTTACAGAGACACTATAACTAAACATCAGTCAATGCCCTCTCCCTTCCTCCCTCCCCCCCTCACCACAAATTAAATTTACAAGTCCTTTTTGCACATGGTGATTGTGGTGTGACAGAGGCTAATTGATGCTGTCTCATAAGAACATAAGAAATTTACAAACGAGAGGAGGCCATTCGGCCCATCAAGCTCATTTGGGGAGAACTTAACTAATGGCTCAGAGTTGTTAAAATCTTATCTAGCTCTGATTTAAAGGAACCCAGGGTTTTAGCTTCCGCTACACTAGCAGGAAGACTATTCCATACTCTAACTACACGCTGTGTAAATAAGTGCTTCCTCAAATTCATTTAAAAATGTTCTCCCGTTAATTTCCACTTATGGCCACGAGTTCTAGTATTCAAACTAATATTGAAATAGTCATTTGGCTGAACAGCATCCAGACCTGTTAGAATCTTATATACCTGGATCATGTCCCCCCTTAGTCTCCTTTGCTCGAGGCTAAACAGATTCAGCTCAGCTAACCTCTCCTCATAAGACATTCCTCTAAGACCAGGAATCATTCTTGTAGCCCTACGTTACACCCTTTCCAAGGCAGCAATGTCCTGTTTAAGATATGGTGACCAAACCTGCACACAATATTCTAGGTGCATGGGGTCTTACCAAGGAATTATATAATCGTAGCATCACCTCCCTTGACTTAAACTCCACACACCTAGAGATGTAACCCAATATTCTATTGGCCTTTTTAATCACTTCCCCACACTGGCGAGATTGGGACATGGAAGCATCAACATACACACTAAGGTCTTTCTCATAGTCAGCTTCCTTTATTTCAGTGGAACCGATGAAATATCTGTACTTTATATTTCTGGTCCCTGCATGGATTACCCTAAATTTATCTATGTTAAATTTCATCTGCCAGATATCAGCCCAGTCGCTAATTAAATCAAGATCCCGTTGTAATTAAATCAAGATCCTGTCTCTGCTACTAGATCAGTATCTGCTACACCACCCACCTTGGTGTCATCTGCAAATTTAACCAGTTTACTGTATGTATTGGTGTCAATATCATTAATGTAAATTAGGAACAATAGTGGTCCTAAAACTGAACCCTGCGGTACCCCACTATGAACGCAGGCCCACTGTGACATTGTGCCTCTAATAACTACTCGCTGCTTCCTGTCAGTTAACCAGGACCCACAGACAGATACATGCATGCCATATGCTGCCTGCTTACCTGAAGCAGATCATCACTTAAAACTTCTGTTTTCTCTGCCCTGAAATGAAAATAAAAATGTTTAGAGCAAATTGTGGTGTGACAATTGGACAAGGGGCCAGAAGGTGATATGGTTGGAGCTCAGGACTTTACATTTATTTATTTGCCGCGTTTAGACACAAAGCAACATACATGTGAGGAAACTGGGTGTCAGCCAGCATCCTGGAGCAGGACAAAGATCTTGATCAAGGGCCTAGCAGTGATGTGATTATGCTGCCAGCCACAGGATTAAAACCCTAAACTCCTGAGCTACACAGCGCTGACAGCATGGTGAGTAATGTCTGTAATCAGCCACGGGATTAGAACCCACAACCTTCCCAACACAGAACCCTAAACTCCTGAGCTACACAGCGCTGACAGCATGGTGAGTAATGTCTGTAATCAGCCACGGGATTAGAACCCACAACCTTCCCAACAGAGAACCCTAAACTCCTGAGCTACACAACGCTGACAGCATGGTGAGTAATGTCTGTAATCAGCCACGGATTAGAACCCACAACCTTCCCAACACAATACCCTAAACTCCTGAGCTACACAGTGCTGACAGCATGGTGAGTAATGTCTGTAATCAGACACGGGATTAGAACCCACAACCTTCCCAACACAGAACCCTAAACTCCTGAGCTACACAGCGCTGACAGGCATGGTGAGTAATGTCTGTAATCAGCCACCGGATTAGAACCCACAACCTTCCTGACACAGACCTCAACCTCGTGAGCTACACAGCACTGATAGGCATGGTGAGTAATGTCTGTAATCAGCCATGGGATTAGAACCCACAATTTTCCTGATACAGACCTTAACCTTTTGAGCTACACGGTGCTAACAGGCACGCTGAGTAATACCTGTAATCAGCCACAGGATTAAAACCCACAACCTTCCCGACACAGACATTAACCTCTTGAGCCACACAGTGCTGACAGACACGGTGAATAATTCCCACTGTCAGCCAGGTGACCTTACCCAGCGTCCTGCACTAATCTGGGCTGGGCTGAGGAGCCCGTCAGTTACTGGCTCTGAGAAACAGCCATGTCAATTATCCCACAAATTAGCGGGTAAATCGCCATCGAAAGTGAGATCACATGACACGATCAGAACGTGCATTCCAGTGTGTGAGAAGCAGCCATTAACATGCAACCGGTAAAATCCCACTGGCCTTGACTCTCAGTCCTGCTTCGTTAGGCCCTGCAGAGGTTCAGGACTGGCTGCTTTTGCCAGCCCCTGTTAGGTGGGGGGCTGAGTGACCCACGGCAAATCAAGGGGAGATGCCCTGCCTTAACAGCAGCCCCGTCTCCCTGCCAGCAGAACACGTCCCTCCGGCCTGTGAGTCAGCGTGTTGCTAAGCAATGGCAAGATGAAGCGGGGTACGGTGAAATGTGGAATATTCTGGAACAGCCGGGGGCGCGGCTCGCCTCACTGCTACGCCTGCACAGCTGACAGTCTTGCTCGGAGGAGCCTGAGTGGCTGTTCCTGTTACCCGGTGACATGGACAGAGCATGACTCAGTGCATTATGGGTAGCTCACAGCGTTAAAGGAAAACTGAGCCTCTGTGAGTGATACAGCCCACCAATGAGTAAACAGAACATGGGTAATTCAACGAACAACTAATTATGTTAATGAAGGACTCTGCGTAAGCAATTAACTGTGTATTTGTGAGTAACATACTGGATCAGTGATTAACACAGTTCATTACTCAGTAACACAGTCCATTTGTAGCACAGTCCCTGGCCCTCTCTCAGCCCCACCCACCTATGACATCATGTCCCATCATCGTGTCACACTCTGTACCCTCACTACACTTTTTTGATGGTCGTGTCCCATTGGCCTGGCTATCAGTTCCCAGCCCCAATCCCAGCACCCCCTACTGCCTGCCCACAGTGAATGCCCTTACTGGATGCCCCTCCCTCCCCTCAGACAAGACAAGGTCCAAGAATTCAACCCAAAAGTTAAATCCAAGGGCCGTCGCAGTTTGCCCTCAGAGCCCATGGTGTCAGGCCGGGGGTGGGGGGCGTGCTCCCCTCTCTGTCAGAGCCATATGACAGGTCATTAGCGAAATGTCACTTGCATCACTGCGGACCAGTTCAGCTATAGGTTTCCCATTACAAACTCCTATATCATTCTACAAACCAGTTACTGAAATTCAGCAGCCAATTTAAGGACATTTTCCAGACAGTCTCCTCCAGAATTCATCAAGGGGTCTTCATGCCAGAGAGATCTTCAGTGGACTGAGCCGAAAGCTGTAAATTCAACCACATAACCCTATCACCTTAGAGTGGATGCAGTGTGACTGCATCTCCATAAGCTTATTAATGCCAGAGCTCACAGAGAGCTCATCTGCCCACATTAACCTTCATCGCTTCTTCTCGCCGGAGCTGGATAGCTGTTGGCTCTCAAAGCCCTTGCTGAAGGTCACCAGGACCTGCAAGCGTTCTGCCCCATGAACCGGTTCAGGAAAAGCAGCCGCAATTTGGAAAGATGGATGGAAATATGGCCCATTTCATCTGTTCATCTTTTATCCTCATTTCTGTGCCCTTTCTCAGCGCACCAAGGTGCCGAGGAGGAAAAGGAAGAGAAAGCTTTTCCTCCCAAATAATGGGCTCCTGTAACTTTCCCTGGCAGCCGTGATGGTTACTATGGGCCACAGTCTCACAACGTGGTGTGAGTTTGACTCTACAGGCTCCTCCTGCCAGCAGTTAAGTCCCCGGATGCCATCAGGGCTCCCCTTTGCACAGCATGATACGAATAATGCAGATGCATTATGGGAGACATCACACTAGGCTGTCAGTCTAACCACGCGAGGAATACAGTCTGACTGAGCGAGGGATACAGTCTAACTGCATGAGGGATACAGTCTGACCGAGTGAGGGATGCCGATCCCCATCCAACCGTGTGAAACAGGTCACGTCAGGGTACTGACAAGCAGTACTGCATACACTGCCATTGTTACGTTCTGAGGCAGCCTGACTGAGGCTGGTCGGACAGAGCCTCCTCTTGTTGTCTGCAATCTTTCTTTAGTGTCATGGTGACGCAGTGGGCTGCACTGTTGTGTGAATGCTACCTCTGCTCTGAGTGTGTGGAGTTTGCATGCCCCCCCCCCACCCCCATATGTCTGTTTATGGCTTCTCCCACAGTACAAAGACATGCATACAGGTGCACTGGTGTCTCTGAGTTGCCTGTAGTGTGAATGTGTGTTTGTGCACCCTGTGATGGACTGGCATCCCTGTCCTCTACCTCCTGCCCTAACCTCCACCTTTACAGTGAACCCAGGTCACCTCCTTGGCAGGGGTGAAGAACTATGTGAGATCCTTCAATGTCTGTCGGCTTGGAGATCACTGAGGAGGTTCCAAACTCCTCCACCAGGGGGCAGATGCACTGACTGACCCTCACCCAGGAGAAGTGAAAGCAGGAACGTTCTTACACATTCTCTGTATTAATGGCTGGTTGCCTGTATCCCCATATGGCCACAGATGAGACCCCCAGCTAGTTAGACATCCCCAGCTGCCAGGTATGTGCTCCATGACCCAGTAAAGGCCAAGTCTCAGCCAGGGCCACCGGCGGGAAGGTGGACAAATAAAAACAGGGCAGCTGTGGGCATCCACAGGAAGAGCGGGTTCGAGTGGCTGTGTGTATCTCTGTCACACGCACATACACACACACTCACAGTTTATGGGGACTGCTCATTCATTACTATGGGAAAAATGCTAACGCTAACTATGACACCCTTAATCCCCTACCCAGCCCTAACCATAGGACCATAAGTAATCAAACGAAATACAAGAAACAAAAGCAGGTATTCATCACGTTGTGGGGACATTGTGTCCCCATAAGGTAAGGTATACCCACTCACACACACACACACACACACACAAACACACACACATATAATCCCGTATAGCTGGCGCTGAATCCCACTACCTCACGCGCCGATGGAGGGAGCAGGCTAGAGAGTTTGGCAGGCCGAGGCCCCCACTCCGGACCGGCCGGGTTCAGGTTGAAAGGGCCTCGCTGGAGTAAATGCCCCGCTATACAGCGGACCCCCCACCTGGAGAGCGCACGGTTAAGGAAGAGATGCTCTCTGACTGTCCCCCGACCCCCATCCCCCAGCTGCCTGTCCCCCGACCCCCATCCCCCAGCTGCCTGTTTGGGCTGCGTGGCTGATGACTCTCCTGTCCCTCCTCCATCGCCCTCGGTCAAGCCTCGCTGCTCCATCTGTTAGACCTTCATGTCCAGCAGCTTGGGCCCTGGCTGGCCCTTCCTTACGTGTTGCCGGGGCTGCTGAGAAAGCCCCCCTCCCCGCCCCAGGATGTTAGCTTGGCTCACCGCTAGGACAGGTGTGAGCGCCGATATTCCTACGGCACCACAGGTTCGCTGTAAATATTAAACCTGTAAGTAGACTAAGTGCGACATAGTAACAGAGTAGATGTTTACATGACTGCGCCTTTGGGTCAGCTGTGGGGGAGGGGGGGTCGGCGGGATAGCTCTTCCAGGTGAAACGGGATTTCCCAGGTGGTGGTGGGGCTGCTGTTGTCATGGTAGCGCCCTCTTTGGCAGGGGTGATGTCATTCGTGAGCGCAGAGTGTAGCAGTGGCCCGCGAGTGATCTCCATGTTCTTGGAGGCCTGGACTGCATTCGTCAGCGAAGCACCGCCAGGCCGCTGTCTGTCTCCTCAAGGTCGCAGCGGGATGCTCCATCCTTCCCAACAGCCTCATCGCTCATTTGTATCCACGCCCCCTACAGCTGCACCAGGCACTACAAACTGGAGATGATCATCCCCTGAGAACTGACCAACCCCGATACTCCAGGCCTACACAGCCAGCCAATAGCGAGAATAGCCAGTCTTGGGGATGGCAGCTGGCCAATCAGGATGCTTCAGGCCAAAATGGTTTCGAATTTCATGTCCGCCTCCCTGGCCCTGTTTCTCCCTGTTGAGTTCCCGTTTTCAAGATGGGGGGGGGGGGGCTGTTATGATAAATCATTTCCAAAGTCAGAAATGGTTTTCGA